GTGATGCTCAGGCTGATGGAGAGAGCGGACGAGTGCAGGAGGCTGTGCCTCTGCTGTGCCTGCCTTGGAGACAGATGACACAGGTGGCAGAGCTCCTTGGTTATCTTTTTTTTTTTTGCCCAGCACCCAATTTAAGAGAGAGAATAATAATGGAGAAGGCAATGTACACTGAAAAAACCCTGGGATTCATAGGAGCATTATCAGGGCTGACAGTTCCTTCTGTCTCCTTTTGCAGTGGAGCAGCTGGCTGTGGGAGAAAGGGAGCAGGGCACATTTGCATGATCCTGTATGCTCTCAGCTTTAGCAGCCAGTGTCTCTGTGCTCTGGTCACTGAGTTTGCTAGTTCTGGTTCTCCAACACCCTTCTGTCCTGTTCCATTCAAGTCCTGTTTTCCCTGGGGAAAGCCCTTGTCTCCTCACAGAGGCACATGGCTGGACCTGTGTTGTTGGGCCACTGTGCAAGCCTCAGTGAGACAGCTAAAAGAAGTCCTGACCCACTTTTACTATCTGGAAACAAAATGCCTAAAGTCCAGCCGCAGTCCACATCTGGGGGGCCTCTGGGGAAGAGGGCAGCAGGGAGTAGTCATATAAATTGGTGTTGGGGGCAGTACTTGGCCTCCAGGCTGCATCTTTGGGCGTGCTTGGTTCAGGCTTTGCTGAACAAACATTTAAAACAAAATTGACTCAATTTTTTCTTGGCTTAGAGAGGTGCCAAGGACCAGCTTCCACATCCAAGAGGGCCTAAGCTAGGCTCTTCCTGGGTAGCTTACTTCCCAAGTGGAAGGATAAAACAGTAATTTAAATAAAACGTTCCTGTACTGCTTTGCCATGTGGTCTAGAGAACATTTAATTCTCCCCACAGTGTAGTCTTAACAGTCTTAAAAAACCCAATTCAGCATTATCCTGGGCCTCTCTGCAACGTGACTATCAGCATTTTCCGTACAGCTGGGAAAAAAGTCAACTTCCAGCTCTTCCTGCAAACCTGCAATGGTGTTTTCCAGCCTGCCCATGCATATGGTGATAAAGGGGTAAAAACATGGGGTCAGTGGAGGATGATGTGCACTGCTGTCTCTTGAGCAGCCGCATCCTGTGGGCTGAACACAGGGGCTGAGAATGTTTAGCTGCTGACTTGAGTTTGGCACTGGAGGGAGCCCCAGTGACCTGCTCATGACTCATGGTGTTGCTGCAGCCAAATCACTTTCCCTTTGTCTCTCTGTTACCCAACTGAAAGAGCTACTGGAGAATTCAGTTCTGTGCTTTAAGGGTCTAAATGGATTAGTAAGTATTAGATGTGTAAGCATCCTCTTTGGTTTTAGTCTTTGGTCCAGCGGAGTCTTACAGTCAGGCTGAGACAAGAAGCACAAAGCATTACTTCTATGTATGTTCATAAACAGTCTAAGTATTGAGCCAATAATTGTGGTTAATGACATCTAAACAGCAAACACATCCACTCCTGACACGTTTCAGAATTAAAAAAGCCTAAGTATCAGTTATTAATCAGAGAAAGCTCTAGCCCCGCTAAGAAACTGTGGAGATACAGGAAGCTTGGTCATGCTGGGTGTCCTCTTCTGTGCCTCTTTCTTTGGACTGTCCATTAAAAATACCATCTTGCTTCACTGTCTGGATTTAAGGCAGCAAATGGATTGTGACCAGTCCCACAAATATGGTTACAAGGATAAGAACCACTAAGCAGGCATTAATGGTCTGTAGTCATGGGGCCATAATCTGCCTTCAGATCCATCACTGGAGCTAATGCTCTATAAAATTTACTGTAGAGTGACTGAAGAGAGCCTTTCCCATGCTCTGGTCTTGCAGCAACACTCCCACTTGCTGAGAGTCCATTCAGTGCCTGGTAAAGCTTTTGGTTAACCTCGGTGGATCTCAGACTGGGTGCTTGGCTTGAGCTCTCTCAGCTTCCAGTCTGTTAGTGCTGCTGTGCTTCATATTTCTGCATCCCAGGCAACTCTCTCTATACTGACCAGAGGGCTTCAGCACTCATTTGGTGTCTTCTAGAGGACACTCCTTCTGGAAGCAGTAGATGCAGGAACTGTGGATGGAATCAGCATTTCAGTAAATCAGCTGTTTTATTTATCCCTGAGCCAAACAAACAAAAAAAAGTATCTCATTCTAGAGTCAACCTCCAGAACATCAGAAGCTGCGAATTTAGTCTCAATTCTATACAAAATAATCCAAATAGAGTTTATAATGCCTTCACAAACAAGAGCCTTTTTGATTTCTAACCCCACAGCTGCTATTACTCAAGTGTGATGTGTGAACCTTCTGTCTGTTAATCCCTGGAAGATGCATGGCTTTGCAGTGAGGTGGCATTTGACAGTGTGAATCAAACAATCACTGATTTCCTCATCCTTTGTCTTCACATTTAGACTGTAAATGGCCATGTTATGTAGCTGTGGACAATAAGTATGAAAAGCCACCTGAGGCAAACTGTGAAACAAAAGGTTCTGTGTTCTCAGATGATGAAGAGAACAATTCATTGGATTGTGCATTCGTGAACAAAAGGCCCAAAAAGAAGGATCAACCCCTTGAGGTACTTCCATATTGTCAAGGCTCCTCCTTCTATGACATTTGTTATGAATTTCTCTCTTTGGTCTAAAAACACTGAGTACAAACAATACATTTATGGTCTTGCTATGGGTTTGCTCACTTTTCAGCATATGTGGATTTCCTGGAAGAAGTCTGAATTTGTACCTGTGGAGATAATAGTTAAACGGGCCTTCAGAGTTGGATCTGAATTGCAGAACTTGGGTTTAGCTCTAAACCACGTGCTAACATGGAGGTATTTGGGTGAGAATATCTGGATATCAACTGCTAGTTGATTTTTCATGTCTGTAGAGGAAAATATATTCTCACCCCCAAGGCAGGGTAGTCAATGGTGAGAACAGCCAGCACCCACAGCCAGAGCGCTCACAGTTCAGAGCCCAGTCCCCCTCGGTTGAGTTCACACCTAGCCAAACCCAGTGGCAGTTCTACCTGCATGACTGCCATAGGTTTTGAATCAGGCACTGTATTAACAAATATTCTTTAAGTTGCTTCATGGAAACAAAAGAACTAAAGGAGACGCAAACCTCACACTGTGGTTTGCCAAAAGCCGTTTTAGCAACACTTTGTTGTGGAGGAAATAAAATTACGGGAGATGATGTAGGCAAAGACTCCTTCCAGATCTGGGCAGGGGGGATGGAGCCACAGCCAGCAGCTCCCAAATTCGAGCTGGGAGATCTCTGCCATGGAGGAGCTGAGTTTGTTCCACCCTCCCCTTAGCTCAGTGTGAGGGAGCAGGAGTTTGGTTTGGTTAGCAGTTGTATGTATGTCCTTCTGGTGGGTTGTCCTACCTCTGGGGGCTCTCACCAGAAGCTGGGCTCTCTTCTTACCATGGAAAGATGCAGCCTCTCTAGCTACTCTCAGAGCTGTCTAGCAGCCTCCTAAAGGAGGCAGAGCTACTCATTTCTGATTTAAGAGTCCTACTGAGTATTTAATTTGCTTTAAGAGCCGTCTGGCTTCCCCAAGAGCAGCCTTCTCCCAAGCTGCAGGAAGTACTGCTCTCATTGTTCAGCTGTGTCCCAGGGCTCCTGCTTTACAGAGAGCAATTCTGAGTCAGCAGCTATGGAATCTGGTGTGGTGTAGGATCCCCGGCTGCCATCCATAGCAGCTTTCTTCCTCAGCTTTTCTCCTCCAGCTGTGCCTTTCTGGGTGCAGCCAGCCCATCCAGGTCTGTTTTGCTTTTGGGGATTTGCAATGGAGACTTGAGGTAAAATTTCAGGCTTGGAAGAAGGATTGAGGTGTTGGATTGATCCCATCTCTGCAAAAAACTTATTTGGCTTATGGGCAAGCTAGAAGAGATGGAGATTTAGATGGAGTCTAAACAAAACCTCACCGTGCTGCAGTTCCTTATCTATATGAATATTTATGCCTTGCTGCATCATGGGAATGTGGAAATACAGCATGATCTTGGGTTTGAAAATCCTATAAAACCGAAATTAGAAAGTCCTCACTTATGAATGGTAGGATCTTGTCAGAGTCTTACAGGTAAACAGGTTGATGCTGTTAAAGAAAACAAAGCTCTGGATATTTATGTAAATGGAGTAGAATTGCTTACCAGGCCTTGCAGTGTTGAATGATGCTATGACAGGCCTCCACACTGAGAATTTGTGCTCCTCTGCAACATCTGGTAACCATTTCATTTTGTGAAGCTTGCAAGACACAACGCCATGCCAGAGCTCTTCTGAGAGAAGTATGCACTGCAGATTAGGTTGCTGGATTTTTTTTCCTGGTTTGCTAGTCTAACTAATTTGTTTCTCAGTCTGGAGAATGGGGTTAATCACAGTAAACCAATTTCATGGAGTTAGTCTGGCTCCTCCTGGGCATTCAGGGCTCCTTTTCAAAGCTCTCTGCATCAGCTGACTGGAAGGCAGAATTGCAATACTTGGCTTCTAAAACAATAACAACGGATTGTGTCTGGCTTGTCTCCCAAGCAAGAGGCTGCTCTTTGAGAAGAGTTCTGCCTTCTGAGAATGACAGGCCCCATGTGTTTCACCTTGAGGACCCTTTCAGCTTTGTAATACCCCAAGGAGCTGTACTCTCAGAAGGGCTGTGGCTGGGATGGACAGTGCAGGACTGGGAGACACCAGAGCTGGCTTTCTGCCATCAGTTTGCTCTCTTGATCCAGGAGCTGCTGAGAATGGCACCAATTTGTCCTGGCTCCTTCAAATGTTATGTTATAAGCGATCTTTAGCCACACCTCCAGCCAAGCACCAGAGGGGAAGGTGTTGGTGTAAACTGAGTAAAGGTACAAGAGGTTTCTTAATGGGGTTAGTCCTCAGCTGGTCATTCATTAATGACCTTCAGGGCCAAGATCTGCTTCTCCATTACTTCATGCCTGGAATGGGATCATTGCCACAGAGATGCCACAGAGATGGGTGAGTTTTAAGGAAAGAAAAAATATTTCCTATTATGCTACTGAAGCTTTGTTTTGCTTTTCTGCAGGCACCGCCTAGGACCCTTAGACCTCGCTTCAGGAAGAAAAGTACCTCGTCCTCTGCCACTGAAACAATGTGAGTGCAATGAGCCAATAGCACCAAGATCCACAGAATGTCTCTCTTCTGCCTTAAAGAGCTACTCGTTAATAATGTAGGAAACAGCAGTGGGATGGATGTGCTTTGATGTACAGCATTGCAGACATGGCCTTTCTCTCTCCTCTCTCTGTATCCTTCTGTTACACGCTTCTCACATTTGTCCATGATGTGGGTAGGACAGTCTGGTAGGCACCTGCAGGTAAAAAGTCCTTGTTTTGTTTGCAGAGTGTACACCCACTCACGCTAATCATGTAAGGCTGTACATTTACAATTCTTATTTGTGTCTGCATAGCTCTAGCTCTGTGAATGCACAGCGGAAGCAAAAATAATCATGATGATACATTGACAGTGTATTTATTTATGGCTTTAGCATTAATGAAGTGGATTTGCAGAAGCCAGGAATTTCTCTTTCCTCCCTTCCTCCTCAAGACTGTAAATGATGCAACAAATGTCAAAGTACTTTGACTGTACAGAATGTTCAAGATTCATTAGCAAAAGCTGAGCTGCAACTCTGTTTCTGTTTCTGCAAGTAAATCACGTGTTCTGAGAAAAACATTGTTCTAAAAACTGTAGAGGCAGAACCACTTACTGAGGAGAGGAAGAGACATGCAAGAGAAAATAAATGGTTTCAACGATGTAATGAAGGGGGAGTCTTAATTTTGATCAGACTGAGCCAGGAGAGTATTGTGTGGAAAATGATGGCGGCTAGAAGAACTAGATCATATCGCTTGTGGCAAATGTTCTACTGCCAGTTTTTAAGTGTGAGCAAGCCAGGCTTGTACTAGCTACAGCAACAGAAGTTAGAATCGCTTTAGTGATGCACTTCCAGGGGAAAATGCACCTTTCTCCCCTGTCTGCATCAGTGTCAGTCCCAGTGCTCTGCTTTCCTGGTGAGGTGCTGCTGTTCTACTTGCATGAGCAGAGCAGGGCGCTGGGTCTGAGCTGCTTTTTGAAGCCTGGAGTTTCGCCTGTAGCATGAAGTTTGGTTAGAACCACAAGAACCAGATGCAGTGGTATATTTGTATCCATATATAAATGAGAAATATAAAAGAAGATGAAGACTTGGTAGGGTTTGTGTATTTGTGCTTCAAGTTGGTGTCTCTTGTAAGTGTTGAGCATGTGAGATTCACACATAAGTTAATTACGTGGCCCTTTGTGTTTGCTCTTGGACCTGTCACATAGACTAGAAAAACATTAGCATTATGTAGAATGTGCCATCACTAACAGATCAGTACATGGGCTTGATGATGAACAGTACTGTTAATCTAGTTCACGTGCAGCAGTCCAGGATGCCAACAGCCGGCTGGAGTGGATCAGGCTCAGAGATAAATCTGAAGTGGCCTTTAAAACCTTTCTTCTGCCGGCTATGCATCGATATCCCAGCTGTCCCTGTCTGATGGATCACTGAGGTTTCCCCCAGAGCTTCCTACATACGTGGGGAAGAGAGTGAAAAAAATTATGCGCACGCACAAGTGTTTATCTGAGCTGGCTAGGAAGTGGAAAAAGCAAGCAGGTATTTCCTGTGTCTGCCACAATTATTTGGCCTCATTACCTGAGAATTTTATTTCCTTTACGTGTGCTAATTCAATCGTATTTTGCAATGAGTAAAAAGGAAAAAGTCTTTAGAAAGTAAATTGAAAAAAACAACAAACCTCTCTAAATAGTAGTTACGGAAGGTTTGGAAGATACTCAGCAAAAGCTTTGAGGGGCTAAGCTTGTGTGCTTTATTTTTAAGCAGCTTTAGAGTTTATTTGATTTCTTTTGGCAAACATTAAAAAGAAATAGAAAAACTGCCTGCAGTGTTAGCAGAAAATAAAATCCTGTTGCAAGCAAGCTGTTATTTCCCTGCTATGCAATGGGCTGCCATACGATAAAAAAGAAGCTGACAAGTTTGCACTCAGTTATGCCAAAAACCCAACAACATAGAGCTACATAACATCTGACAAATTCTGTTCTCAGACATGCTGTATTAACATTGATTCTCACTAAAATTATTAAATGTGCGTCTAATCTGCTGTTTTACTGTAAACTTGACTGTTTAGCATTTCTTAAGTGCTGAGGTGAAATTGTTGACAAGGGAGTTGCCTTATATCTCTCAAAACATTCACTGTATAAAGGAGAAAAATAAACCTTTTCATATCTCTGGCAAAAATGTATTAATTTATCAACTGAGCTGTATATTTGTGTATAGATAGACAAGAAATGTGAATGCCTAACCACGTACACTTAGTGCTGTAGTGTTCTGTATACAGAAGAGAACGGTCATTTGCTTTTGATTCCTCATCTTCCACACACAGGTTGTTTACAGGTGTTGCCCCAAGTCTTTAATTTCACTCTTTGGCTCCTTGCGTTCGTTCAGAACAAACACCAGACATGAAGTCTTTTGTTCCCGTTTTTCCTCTCGAGTCTGCCAAGGAACGAGCCCGATTCAGGGAGTCGCCTTCCTGCGCTGATGCTGACCCCTCCTGGCAAAGCAGAGTTTTAGCAGGATTCGAGCAAAGGGAGGACGCAGGGACGGTGGCTTCTTGCGTGTGTTGGCCGGGAGTAACTCCCAGCTTCCTCCCAGCTCAGGCTCGGAGGGTGCGAGCTGGCTGACCGCTTGCACATTCCTCGTAAACGCAAGCAGTCTTTCAGCTGATGGTTTAAAATAGCAACAGATCTGGCTTAAGTAAGAAAATCACGGTTTGGGGACTCCACAGTCAGCCCTGTACGGCAGGCAGGCACCTCCTGGCTTCTCAGAGGTGGCCTGGAGATTGTAATCCTGAAAGGAACCAGCCAGCCCTAGAAAATACAGCCTTTACCCAGCACAAGGCTCAAGTGAAACCTGAATTATTTTGAGCAAGTAAAAGAGAGGCTGAGGGGAAGGAAACTGCAGCTGAAGATGGTCCATGGAAAATGGGCCTGTGAGTTACCTCATCAGTGCTTTATGACCATAAATTCACCTAAATTATGAGGAGAATTAAGCTTAGAGCAGTTCAGTGCAGTCCTCCACGCCTCCATTCTTGTCGTAGGGGTGTCAGTGCAGTCATGGCGGTTGCCAATTGCTGATTGAGGATCATAACTAATAGAGACAAGACAGACTTGATGGGTATTGCTGTCACCTTGGAACTAATCCCCCGCTAATCTAAACTCTGCAAGTGCAATCCCAGCACAGAAGGAAAGGAGAATCGGGTTATTTATTCCTATTAAGAGGGAGAAAGCTGCTTGGAGAGATACGATGCTCCCTAGCCTCATGTAAACAACCTGCTGCCTCCAACTGCTCTCATCTAGTGATGAAACACTTGTGCTTGTGACCGAATGCTCGTTAAACACAGTCTCCTTTTTGCTGTTTGTTTCGGGTACCCGTTTTGCATCTAGCACCATATTTGAAATAGCGGAGAACACTACGTTGGGATTTGCGTTTAGACAAACTATTTAAGGATCATAAATTGTGCACTTCATGTGATTTCTTTCCTGTGATCGGTAGAAAAGGTCTGTGATGGAATGGTACACTTAATGCCTCACACGGATGGCCATTACAACAGTATTCCAAAGGTTGATGTTTTGCTGGTTTTGTTATACTGCTTGATATACATCTTGAATAAAGTCTTAATCTTTTCTTTAAGTGTAATTATACCCCACACTGCATACCTGATCACATGTATATATGGAACAGAACGAAGGATTTATCATGGGGTCCTTTTTGAGTGTATACAGTGCAACTAGTCTCTGGTTTTGGTAAGGTCTAGATCGGAGGTTTTTCCCTCAAAACTGATACTGCAGCAAGTGTCTGAAAAGCAGTTGCCTCTAGCAGTAGCTTCAAAACATTCACTGATAACCCATTATTAAGCAGATAGTCCCTGGTAATCAGTTCCAGAGCCACCTGTAGAGCAAGAGATGGTTTGCCGTACAAGGCTGTAGCATTTCAATGAATTCACTAGTTACTCCGAGTGTTCAGTAGCTGTATTTTTTTTCCAGTTCATAATACAGAAAGAAGTTCTGAAGGACATGCAGCACTTAGTGAGTACATCTATATACAGTCAGCCAGAATTGAGATAAAAATAATACAGCAGTCAAAGTAATTATTCTGGCCTGCCAGATACATTGAACAGACTAAAGATGTTTTCTTTTTTTTTTTTTTTTTTTTTTTTTAAAGAAAAGATTAA